TGCCAGACATTTTTTAAAATTTAGGCATATGTAGATTGGTAAAAATAATGTTCAATCTACAGGAAATTTAACAGTACTTTAATAAAAGTTTCAAAGTTTCTATGGAAATGCAAACCTTTTAAATGCTGTTCAAGATTTTTCTGTAGTGTGTTTTTATCTATTTCTGCTAAGCTGAAAAATTTGAAGTTATTCTGTTTAAAAGTCAGATTAGAAATAGGCTTTATGAAAAAGTAAAAAGTCAATTCAGGTCATTCAGTTTAATTTGCTGAGTCATATCTTTTGTGTATAATCTTATATAGTATACTACTACATTAATAATGTTTATTAAAAATAAAGCTTGACTTTTCTGCAGAGAGATTTAAGATTACATTATTTAGGCAATCACTTACATTCAGTGTGTTTATATTGTTTAATGTTGATTTTTTAGGTTTTTATGTTTATTTTTTTATTGATATGTAGTAAGTATCCAAAAAATAGATGCCCTAACCAAAGAATTTTGTCACTAGCATATGTCTTAATTTTCATCATTTAAAAGTATATTGCTATTAGAATATTTGACTTTTATAATGCCTTCAATAAATAAATTTTCCTAAATTATTAATTTTAGGTGCTGTTTTTCAACACTAAACTTTTGACCAAGAATGAAACTATTTAAAAATTAAGATGTCAACAGGTAATTTCTTGTAAATTTATACTTTTGTCAGTGGATATCACATAGAAATAGAACCACCCCCCACAAAAAGTGTAGTAATACAAATCTGTATTTTTCCCTATCTAAAATTGTTCCAGAAATCTGAAGTATTTTGGTTTTTAAAGATTACATTTTATAGCATGAAACTAGTTTTAGACTTAACCACAAAACTATTTTATTTTATTGCTTTTTACACATTGATAAATTCTAGCTTATTCTGTATGATATCAATTTTACAAGAGTAGGTGAAATAAAGATAACAAATAGATTCAGAGATAGTGATTCAAGTTAGATGAGCATTCTTCACAGATAAAATACCAGATATTGAGACCCTGGCTTGTTATAATCCAGTTAAAAATAAGGACATTAATTTCAGCTACAGAAAGCATTCTATGATAAAATTACACTCCACACCCTCAGTGGGAAATCGCTGTGTGATGATTTCCATGATTCTGATGTAATGTTAATTGGGATTTTATTTGTTAGCCAAATTATTCCTGAAAAGTGGTAAGTAAAAGTTGTTTGATTGTAAAGAAGCATGCCATTGTGTAAAAAAGAAAAAATCCAGAAGAATTAGTTCTGTTTGGTTTACTTTCTTTTTTCCACTTAAGTTTTTTGTAATTGTTTTCCTCTTTACATTTTTATGCCTGTATAGTTATGTTGTGGTGAAGCAGATTATTCTCAATTCTTAAGTAAAAGGAACACTTAAAAATTTTAAATTCTGGTGGTGGAAACATCTGGCTCAGTAACAATTATATATTAACAAGTTGAAACTTAGTGGGAAATAAATGCTAGATTATTTTTTTGGATGCCAAACTTGAGTAATGCTTTTCTCCTTCACATGATTCTAGGTCATTTTCTAGACAGTTAGGAACCAACAATGTGCAATTTTAAAGCAATGAAATTCCCCCTTCAAGGCTGAAAGATAAAGTGTTCAGCAATTTGCTTTTCTAATTATAAACAGTAGTATAATTGATGTAGGAATATAGGTGAGGTTTGGTGGGGTGGGGTCTGGAGCTGACTGCCAAAAAAGAATTCTTGAGACATCTGCATGGGGACAGGACCCAGGGGCAGAAAGAGCTGCTGCAGGGGGTTGTGAAGGGTAGCTGATTATACACTTGGGGATTAGGGGAGGTAAGGAAAAGGGAGGATTTCAGAAGAATTTCATATGCTAAAGATGACCTACCAGATACCAGAAGCCTTGCCACTGTCAAGCTAAGGTTGTTTTTCCCTCTAGTAAGGCATTAACATTAAGGCAGTTCTGAGCTTCCTGGAGGAACGTCACAAATATCCCATCCATGAGTGGGGGGAGGGAGGAGGTTGCAGGGTGTCAAGCTTGTGCTTTGTCCTCAGCTAGCCTTCTGTTCCCTCATAATGATTCAGTGAATTCTATATTTATGATGTGGTTTTGGAATATAGGTGAAGTTCATGGTGTGAGGTCCAGAACTGACAACTAATAAAGAATTCTTGAGATGTGTCTGGATGGGCTGCAGGTTATAAGGACATTTAATTGTATCTATATTTCCTTCTGGAAGCTAGGTTATTGATAGAAATGCTTTGTTGTTTTTTTTTTTAAAGATTTATTTATTTGAGAGAGAGAATGAGAGATAGAGAGCACGAGAGGGAAGAGGGTCAGAGGGAGAAGCAGACTCCCCGCCGAGCAGGGAGTCCGATGCGGGACTCGATCCCAGGACTCCAGGATCATGACCTGAGCCGAAGGCAGTTGCTTAACAAACTGAGCCACCCAGGCGCCCAAGAAATGCTTTGTTCTTGTAGATTGCTAAGATATTTGTAAACTGAGGGAGACTCAGGTCTTGCAGGGTTGTGATCTCTTTAATTATCTGTGTTTCCTTTCCTTAGCTTTAGGGCAGCCAGGAGTGCATTAGGAATGTCACATATATCCCATGGCAGGGGAGGATTGTGAGGTGTCAGCTTCTGCTTTGTCCTCAGCTTGCCTTCTGTTCCCTCATCAGTTATTTCTAAGTTTTTCTATATAATGGTTTGGTCACCAGGAGTGAAAGAAAAGGGATTTAACAAAAATAGGTTTGGGGGGTGCCTGGGTAGCTCAGTCGGTTAAGTGGCTGCCTTTGGTTCAGATCATGATCTCAGGGTCCTGGGATCGAGCTCCACATCTGGCTCCCTGCTGGGCGGGGAGCCTGCTTCTCCCTCTGCCTCTACCTGCCACTCCCCCTTCTTGTGCTCTCTCTCTCTCTCAAATAAATAAATAAAATCTTTAAAAAAAATAGGTTTGGGGGAAGGAGGTGCAGGATGGAAGGAAGAAGAAGATACCATGGGAGACAAGGAAGGCAAAGAGATAAGGAAGGATAAAGGAAAGATCAAAGATAAAGAAGGATGTAAGGATGGAGAAAGAAGGGGGGAGAAAAAGCAAGCAAGAGAGAAATGGAAGTTTAGGGGTGCCTGGGTGGCTCAGTCGGTTAAGCGGCTGCCTTCGGCTCAGGTCATGATCCCGGGGTCCTGGGGTCAAGCCCCGCGTCAGGCTCCCTGCTCAGCAGAGAGCCTGCTTCTCCCTCTCTGCCTGCCTCTCTGCTTACTTGTGCTCTCTATCTCTCTGTCAAATAAATAAAATAAAATCTTAAAAAAAAAGAGAGAAATGGAAGTTTATTTTTTCAATATTCTAAAAGCTTTGACTGCATATCAAACAATGACTAGGTTTTTAATTTTACTTTAGAACTTTAGATGTCTTTTCAGTTACCAGCTATTACCTAAAATCCTCTTGCATATCGAGACTTTGTAAGATTACTTTTTGGGTTTGTTGTTGTTGTTTTAAAGATTTTATTTTGATGTAATCTCTACACCCAACGTGGGGCTTGAATCTACAACCCCAGATCAAAAGTCGCATGCTCTACCAACTTAGCCAGCCTGTAGTCACATGCCAGCCAGGTGCCCCTGGGTTTTTCTTTTCTTTTTTTTTTTTTTTCCAGTTTAAATTTGTCATACATAAAAATATTTAGAAGGATAATTTTGGAAATCAATTTATTTCAATTATATAAATAATTTTCCCACAGCAGTTTCAGAGTTTAATGAATTTGGCACCTAAAAAGAAAGATAAGAATTTAAATACACCTTTGTAACAGAGAAGCTCTAAACAAAGCTGCAGAATCTCAGTATTAAATGAGAAAGGTTGCTGTTTACTTTAAGGTCCTAATTGCCTTTTTAAAAATCTAATGAATATAAAGATTCCCTATTTCTGTAATATAGCCTATAAATCTATTATAATTAATGGCCATATCCTTAAGACAGATTAATTTTTCCCTCAAAGGGCTAGAAGTCCGTGCTTATCAAATAAGAAATAAGATTAAGTTCCTCATTTTTTTTAAAGATTTTATTTATTTATTTGACAGAGAGAGACATAGTGAGAGAGGGAACACAAGCAGGGGGAGTGGGAGAGGGAGAAGCAGGCTTCTCGCTGAGCAGGGAGCCCGATGTGGGGCTCGATCCAGGGACCCTAGGATCATGACCCGAGCCAAAGGCAAATGCTTAACTCCTGAGCCACCCAGGCACCCTTAAGTTCCTCATTTTGAGAAGGAATTCTTCATTCTAATTTTTTTTAATTTTTATTTTTATTTATTTTTTTCTTCATTCTAATTTTTAGAATTGCTACTATCTTGAGGGAGCAGAAGGCTAGTTGAGGACAGGGCATAACCTGACACCTGCATCCTCCCCCCACCCCTGGGTGGGACATGTGTGACAGTCTTCCAGGAAGCTTCCAACTATCTTAATGTTAATGGTTTGTTAGAGGAGTAAACAACCTTGACAATGGCAATCCCTCCATTATCTTGTAGATCCTCTTTAGCATATGAAAGTTCTTTCAAAACCTCCCTTTTTCCATACCTCCCCCAACCCCATACTATATAATCAGCCACCCCTCACAACCCCAGGGCAGCAGCTCTTTCAGCCCATGGGTCCTATTCCCATGCTTTTTTTTTTTTTAAGATTTTATTTATTTATTTGACAGAGAGACACAGTGAGAAAGGGAACACAAGCAGGAGCAGAAGGAGAAGCAGGCCTCCTGCTCAGCAGGGAGCCCGATGCGGGGCTCTATCCCAGGACCCTGGGATCATGACCTGAGCCGAAGGCTGAAGCCTAACGACTGAGCCACCCAGGCGCCCTTCTATCCCGGTGCTTTAATAAACCACCATTTTGCACCGAATGTGTCTCAAGAATTCTTTCTTAGATGTCGGCTCCAGACATCACCCCATCAAACTTCACCTATATTCCAAAACCTCATTACTTCTGTCTAAGATACTTAGTCCTTTTGCTTGTTTGCTTTTCTCTGTTTAATTTATGTATGTGTTTAGATCACGAAGAGCTATGTGGTCCCAGTCACAGGTCATTTTGCCTGAATGGAGGGATTTGTTATGTGGTACCTACTATTCCCAGCCCATTCTGTAGGTAAGTGAAATGGACTGATGTGGGGGAGGGTCATTTTATTTTTTACTGTCTACTAACTTCTTTGAGAAATGATAAATATTGAACAAAAAGTATAAGATGAAAAAATGTGAGGAATGCTCTTATTTATATAGAACAAAATTATACTTTTAAAACAAAAAGTAGCAAATCACAGTCTTGCTCAAATTGTTTATTTTGAAAATTGGTGGTAGTTTCAAGCCTAATCCAATTTTTATAATAATCCATTTCAGTGAACTCTGTATGATTTTAGCAATTTAGGGAAGACACTCTATGTTTAATATTAATGACAAAACAGGTAGAGAACTCACTAATGTACAAAAGCCCAACATGAGACATTTTGCTGAGTTTAGAATACATAAATACACGATTAACTGTTGTGGTGTCATTTTGGAATATAGGTGAGGTTCAGTGGGGTGAGGTCTGGAGCCGATGACCAAGAATTCTTGAGACGTCTTTGGTACAAAATGGTGATTTATTAAAGCATGGGGACAGCACCCGTGGGCAGAAAGAGCTGCTGCCCCAGGGTTGTTAAGGGTGGCTGATTTTATACTTGGCAGTTGAGAGAGGTAAGGAAAAGGGAGGTTTCAAAAGGATGATCATATTAAAGAAGACTCAACAGGATACCAGAGGCCTTGCCATTGCCAAGTTAAGGTTGTTTTTCCCTCTAGCAAGGCATTAACATTAAGATAGTTGGGAACATCCTGGAAGAATGTCACATATCCCACCCAGGATTGGGCTTGGGGGGAGGTTGCAGGGTGTCAGCTTGTGCTTTGTTTTTAGCTAGCGTTCTGTTCCCTTATCATTTGTATCAAAGTTTACATTTGATATATTAAAAAGAAAATGAAGCATTAAGTTTTTCTAATGGTGTCAACAAATAAAAAAGAAGGCTGTTTTGTTTTAAATAATATGATTTCACATTGGGATTATATAGCCAGATCAATAAAAGACTTGAAAATAGTACTTGTTTAGCTGGCTTCCTTTGAGTTTGGTTAGATAGGATTTAAGGGGGAGATAATAAACTGACTTTATTTATTTATTTATGTATCTATCTACTTATTTATTTATAAGATGTTTAAGAACTTATGAGAGAGAGAGAGAGACAGAATAAGCAGTGGGCAGAGGGAGAGGGACAAGCAGACTCCCCACTGAGCAGGAAGCCTGAAGTGGGGCTTGATCCCAGGACCTTGAGATCATGACCTGAGCAGAAGGCAGACCCTCAAGGGAATGAGTCACCCAGGCACCCCGATAAACCTCTTTTATTTTTATTTTATTTTTTAAGGTTTTATTTTATTTTTTGAAACAGAGAGACAGTGAGAGAGGGACCACAAGCAGGGGAAGTGGGAGAGGGAGAAGCAGGCTTCCCAAAGAGCAGGGAGCCCGATGTGGGGCTTGATCCCAGGACCCTGGGATCATGACCTGAACTGAAGGCAGACACTTAGTGACTGAGCCACCCAGGTGCCCCAATAAACCTCTTTTAATACATGAATTAGCAACATATTACTACCAATGATGTCCATAGAGTTTAGTGGAGCTAACACCTAAGGACCTCAAGATTTTTTGTGGCATGTGCGTGAATTACTCTGTTTTTGTTCTTTAACTGAAATGAGAGGTATAAAATCTACATTAAAGATCTTTCTAAAGTAAAATTCATAGGAAAAGTGAAAAATAATTTTTGAGATTTAGTGTGGAGGAAGGGAGACATAAATAACCTCATAATTATCTCAAGATGTTCTCAGAGGTTTCCCTATGGGATGACTAAGTATTTTTCCTCTCAAGTTAATAAAGTGAAAAAGAAGGAGATAGAAGAACAAATCAACAATTGTTTTGTACCTACTAGGTGCCTCTACATTTTTCTTTCATCTTAAAACCTATTTATAAAAATACAATTTATGAATGATAAACTACTTTTTAAAAGTGCACAATTGAGGAATTTTGACAAATGTTTATACCCATGAAACCACTACCACCATAACAACATACAGAACATTTGTATTATACCACATTTGCTGACCAAAATTTTAATTTACATTTTCATGTTTCATCATGAAAAACCTTAGAGGAAAGGGGAAAAGAAGACCTAAGGAAATAGAAAAATAAGGAAAATGAGAAATAACTGACTTGCCAAAGTCATACATGTAGGACTAAATTAAAGAAATGTCCTTGAGTACAAAGTATAACTCCCAAGTTTCACCTAATCTTACGGTATATTCATTCTGAATTCTTTCTAATGGGATAGAGCATGTGGTATTCATAAAATGAAACAAAAATACTCATCAGAACAAATATATTTCATAATTAAAAGATACTGATGTTTGGTATCTTGATTTTGGTAATGGCTACTTGGGTAAAAAGGCTGTCCTTTCTCCATTGACTTACTTTTGCACCTTTGTCAAAAATCAGTTGATTCTACATGTATGGGTCTATTTCTGGACTATTGTATTCCATTGATCCATGTTTCTATCTTTCACGAATATCAAACCATCTTGATAACTGTAACTTTATAATAAGTGAAATCAGGTCATGTGAGTCCTTAACTTTGTTCTTCAGCCCATTTATCTTTATCTTTTCTTTCTAAAAGACAGTATTTCAATGTTAAACTATTACAAATATTTAGCTGCATATTATAAATTTTGTGGTCTGTTGTTCATCTCTAAGGTAGACATTTTTTCCAGTGTGATTTCTTCTTTAACCTGTGTGGGGTTGTTGCTGTTACCCTTTAACATGTATATCTAATTTAATTGCATTGTGGTCACAGTACTTCGTCTATCCAGCTCTACCCTTACTATTTGTCTGTATATTAATGGTGTGTTTATACTGCACTGAATAAGTTGAAAGAAAGAATTAAGAGTACTGAAATTTGGAGAATCACTGAGATGGGAAGAAAAGTAGTGTCTTACTTCAGGCTGCTATAGCAAAAAAAAAAAAATCAGTCTGGGTGAATTATGAACAATAGAAATTTATTTCTCATAATTCCGGTGGCCAGAAATCTGAGATCAGGATGCTAGCACGATTAGGTTTTGGTGAGTGCCTTCTTCCTGGTTTGCAGATGTATTTGGATAGATCTTTTGATTGGCAGGTTTATATTCAGGAAGAGCTGGTAAGGAACCAGCTTTTAGAATGCAGAACCATTCTGTGGGATTAGTACCCTCTGTGCAGTGTGGGTTGTATAGCTTGGAGTTCTTCAACACCCGGAAAGAAAGTGAAGTCAGGGAAGACACAGAAAAGGAGGGCATATACTGACTAAGGGTTAAGTTAAGTTGAACAGCAGATACATTTTAAATCATTATTTTATAAAAGTAATTGCTTTCCAATAATTTTAGGACTAGGTTGGACCTATTTTTTTTAAAGGCTTTTATTTATTTTTTTATTATGTTAATCACCATATATTACATCATTAGTTTTTGATGTAGTGTTCCAAGATTCATTATTTGCATATAACGCCCAGTGCTCCAGCAGAACGTGCCCAATTTAATACCCATCACCAGGTTAACCCATCCTCCCACCCCTGTCCCCTCTAGAACCCTCAGTTTCTTTTTCAGAGTCCATCGTCTCTCATTGTTCATCTCCCCCTCCGATTTCCCCCCCTTCATTCTTACCCTCCTGCTATCTACTTCTTTTTTTTTCTTTTAACATATAATGTATTATTTGTTACAGAGGTACAGATCTGTGATTCAACAGTCTTGCACAATTCACAGTGCTCACCATAGCACATACCCTCCCCAATGTCTTTCACCCAGCCGCCCAATCTCTCCCACCCCCCACCACTCCAGCAACCCTCAGTTTGTTTCCTGAGATTAAGAATTCCTCATATCAGTGAGGCCATATGATACATGTCTTTCTCTGACTGACTTATTTCAGTCAGCATAACAATCTCTAGTTCCTTCCACATCTTGCAAATGGCAAGATTTAATTCCTTTTGATGGCTGCATAATATTCCATTGTATATGTATATACCACTTCTTTATCCATTCATCTCTCGATGGACATCTTGACTCTTTCCACAGTTTGGCTATTGTGGACATTGCTGCTATAAACATAGGGGTGCACGTACCCCTTTGGATCCCTACATTTGTATCTTTCGGGTATATATTCAATAGTGCAATTGCTGGATCCAATGGTAGCTCTATTTTCAACTTTTTGAAGAACCTCCATACTGTTTTCCAGAGTGGCTGCACCAGCTTGCATTCCCACCAACAGTGTAGGAGGGTTCCCCTTTCTCCCCACCCTCTCCAACATCTGTCGTTTCCTGACTTGTTAATTTTAGCCATTCTGACTGGTGTGAGGTGGTATCTCATTGAGGTTTCGATTTGGATTTCCCTGATGCCGAGTGATGTTGAGCACTTTTTCATGTGTCTGTTGGCCACTTGGATGTCTTCTTTGGAAAAATGTCTGTTCAAGTCTTCTGCCCATTTCTTGATTGGATTATTTGTTCTTTGGGTGTTGAGTTTGATAAGTTCTTTATAGATTTTGGATACTAGCCCTTTATCTGATATGTCATTTGCAAATATCTTCTCCCATTCTGTTGGTTGTCTTTTGGTTTTCTTGACTGTATCTTTTGCTGTGCCAAAGCTTCTTATCTTAATGAAATCCAAACAGTTCATTTTTGCCCTTGCTTCCCTTGCCTTTGGCGATATTTCTAGGAAGAAGTTGCTGTGGCTGAGGTCAAAGAGGTTGCTGCCTGTGTTTTCCTTTAGGATGTTGATGGACTCCTGTCTCACACTTAGCTCTTTCAACCATTTTGAGTTTATTTTTGTGTGTGGTGTAAAGAAATGGTCCAGTTTCATTCTTCTGCATGTGGCTGGCCAATTTTCGCAACACCATTTGTTGAAGAGACCGTCTTTTTTCCATTGGACATTCTTTCCTTCTTTGTTAAAGATGAGTTGACCATAGAGTTGAGGGTCCATTTCTGGGCTCTTGATTCTGTTCCATTGATCTGTGTGTCTGTTTTTGTGCCAGTACCATAGCGTCTTGATGATGACAGC